GCGCAATGCGACCGACTTACAAACGCGGAAATAACTCTGAGAATTTATCGCGATGCGGAATTCCACCACATGGAATTCCGTCACTGTCGAGGGTAAACAACCTTTGCGAACCAGTTGCTCTCGGTAATTAAATTTTTCCGCGGATGCAATGCACATGCCTGGAGCTCCGTCACCGTCTTGACAATCTAAGTTTCTCAGAAATGGATGGATTATTGCCCACCAATTTCTCGGATAATGCTCACGGTGTATGGAATAAATTTATACGAAATTTCAGTAACTATCTGAGGCGCAGTCGGCACTTGGAATCGGAGAATAGAATACCTGCACCGGCGTCTTTCCTTTCCACTTCGCCGATCAACGTCAGCGAGGAATCGCAATGTAGCGATAATGCATTGAACTATACTATAACGCCACGCGATATTCTCTCATTCGCCTGGCAAATAAGCAAAGGAATGACATATCTCGCTGATATTAAGGTACGATAATATTATTTCAAAATATTCATAAAGTTATTTGGATTTTTTTTCCAAATTACTGAACTTATTAGAAATATCTAAACTAAAAATGATTAAAATATATCTATTATATAATAGAATTAACTGAAAATTAGTAACAGAATGGCAGTATTCAAATTGACTTTCCTCGCAACTTGGTTAATGAAATTTAACAACATGCGATTGCAACTTTCTGGAAGTCAAAGTCGTGAAATGTCTTAAATGGACTCGGTCAAGTCATTAGCAATTAATCAAAGTTTCCTCCGCACTGCAGTTGGTGCATCGGGATCTCGCGGCGAGGAATGTTTTACTCGCAACTGGTAAGGTCTGCAAGATCTCGGACTTTGGTCTAACTCGTGATGTATATGAGGACGATGCGTATTTGAAGCGAAGCAAAGGACGAGGTAAGATCATCCATTAATTAATAATCTGTATGCCGACTCAAAACTTACAGACTTTCCATTACACTCTCTCATTATTGAAGCAAATTATAGTAATACATTTTAAATCAATCATTAATTAAATTCATTTCCGATAATGAGAATTACAACTTCCAAACATAATATCACAAAAATATCAAATCGATCTTATAAATTATAATTTTATTTCACATTACAAATCTATGTTATTAAATAAAAAGTGTCATAATTTAGTATCGAAAAGTACAATTTTGCGAGGCGCGGACAATATTTCAACAAGTTTAATCCTAACGATCCTAATTTAACCACGACGGAATAAATCCGGTCGTAATTCTTTCGGGCGTATTCACGAGAAAAACATCTTTAATGACTCGCACGAGCCCGCTTGTTACTTCGCGTTATCCAAGGTTTTACGGTTCGTGCCTGCAGTGCCTGTAAAATGGATGGCGCCGGAATCCCTGGCCGACCATGTGTATACCAGCAAATCGGACGTTTGGAGTTTCGGCGTGCTCCTGTGGGAGTTGGTCACGTTAGGAGCGTCTCCATATCCCGGAGTCGACGTACATAATCTCTACAATCTACTAAAGGCCGGCTATCGTATGGAAAAGCCGTCTAATTGCTCCCAACAGCTGTAAGTGCTTAATTCTCTTCTGTGATTTAGAGCGTTTAAACATTCATTAATCTTAAGGATCATCAATTTTAAGTCCACTTAGAAATTTAGTGACATTCATTAAATAAAATCTACCTCTTGTAATTGTCTTTTATATAAAAATTACTTTTGCTAATCCAAGTTCAACATAATTATTTTTTTTCATAGTTGTGTGTCTCTTTATACCTATTAAAATTATTCTTTATTATTATCTTCCTTCTCATTCTTTTTCTTTTTTTTTCCTACATTCTTTCTAGTTGTCTTTTTAGAAAATTATAATTTATGTTGTTTGAAACTCGGCTTTTTCCAAGTTCTAACTGAAAGTTAATCCTGCTGGTCTATTTAAAACTATGGTTATATTGTTTGAGTCATTAATAAAAAGCTCTAAAAAATAAAAAAAATTCACAAAATAAACTTACACTAACAAATGAAGTTATTAAATACCAGAAAAAATTTTTTTAATTAAAATATTTCGTAAAAACAGAAATTACATTTTGGGTCATATAGACATAAACAGACCAGCAGAGTTCAGCTGACTAACGGAGATAAAATCAAAGGGCTTAGGACTGCGTGTAACTTATACGGTATTCATAATTACGAGGGATTCGTGCGTAATTATCACAGGAAATTTTCATGATTATATTAGCGTGACTTCATATCACATGTGAAACATTCTGTGAAGATTAGATCACTATACTGCGAAGTCAGCCTCAGTACATATGTTGTGTATATACAAATTACTAAATTAATAACATAGTAGCAAAACAAGTAATATGAAGGGAAGTAAAGGAATAGGGGAAGTAGTATACAGTAGTATAGTAAATAGTAATAAACAGAAATATGACTAAATCTTTAATCGTGATGTGAAAACACATATCCTTTTCAATTAAACTATTATTAAAAGTTATACTTTTAAAAAAGCATTGGAAAAACGTCAATAGTTAAAATAAAGTAGGCCAACTATTTCTGCTCGTCGTAAAAGTACATTCTCTTTTGTGCGCAAACGGAAAACGAAAGTCATTTCCTATCTTTTACAACCTCGTCTAAGGAAACATCTTCGGTTTGATTGTAACAAGTGATATTTTTTCAGGTACAAGTTGATGGTGTCGTGTTGGCATCAAGAGCCCGGTATGCGACCGTCGTTCAAGGAACTAACTAGTCATTGGGAACGTATGCTGGAGGATGGTGTCGAATATCTCGATCTTAATCCACGAACCGTCCATAATCAAGCCTACTTTGCATCTCTACAAGCTTTGGACAGCGCGAGTGGTAAATAAAATAAGTCGATTTGAAATATCGCCGTCTATAAATAATTGTTATCACCTTTGATATTTTTAGTTAATCCAGAGATAAGAAATTTCTGGATTCTAGCAGTTTTAAATTATTTCCAAATGCTACTATTCTCAACCTCATTCAATCATTATCAAAACTTATTTATCGATTTCAGATAATGTGATTTCGAATTATCTTTAGTCTTTAACTATTGCCGTAAAAAGATGTTACACTTCTAACGTCATGGATCCACTGAACTCTTATTTTTGAAAAGCTAATTACATTTTTATTGATATAATTTTTTATTGATATAAACTCATTAATCTTTGATCTAAAAACATTTTTGTCATATCTTTTCGATATTTGAACCTTTATTCACCTATATTTTACAATCGTTGAAAGATTTGATGGGTACGATAGACCACGACACCAGTTAATAATTAAAGGATCTCTTATCAAATCTTTTGTAGGTTCTGGTAGCGATCAGGTTGATAACGGGATTATCAACGGGATTCTAAGGACAGATACTGTTAACTATCTCGGCCGGATATCTTCTGAACCAGTAACAAAATGCGACAAGATAGACAAGCTGCAAGCGCTCTGGCAATCAACCATAGCATACTTCCCCGAGGAACCTATAAAGTCGCCTTATGTAAACGAACGACCTCCAAGTTTGAAAGCCAATCATTATGAAAGCCCGATAAAATTGAGAAATACCAGCCTGACCAGCAATAGCGAGAACGATCTGAGAACACCTCCCAACGAACGACCTCAGTCCTACATTGATATGCAAGGAAAGAAATCGGCGGAGACGGAGGATCTTTTGGTGTTTAGGAGTCTTGACGATGACGAAAAGACTGACAATAACGTGACGAACTGATCGACGTAATCTCACGTTGGACAAATGAGAAAAATCCAAAATAGGAAAACACGTCAGTTTTCTGAGCCTCGTCGAGTTTTCCTAGTCTTAAGACAAATATGGATGAAAGAAAGTAAAGGTAACTGATTGAGGGAGCAATTGTCAATCGCAAATTATGCGAGAAAGAGAAGAATATTTATTTAACGAGGAAGTATGAGAGAAAATTGTGTGAGAGAGCAATTGGAAGCGAATGATTCGCGTGGGATGAGAAACGCCATTCTTTATGGCGATTTATAGGAATTGCGCAGAACGACGATGACATGTAATGTACTGGCTGAATGAAAATTTGCATTTGTAAAAGCAAATATTAACTCCGTGGAATTGAATGAATCGCGATTTAAATTGTATCGTAGAAAGAATTCCTGAAAGAATTCTTGATTGGACGAAATGCCCTATAGAAAGTTAGGAGTAAACTATATCGCGCAAAGTGCTAAACCAAATATAAATTACTAATTAATTTGCCGTGTTTTTATGTACTTAAAGTCATACGGCTGTTTGTCGATCACCATTGGTAAGGTCGCTTTTAATACTATTAATAATAATAGTTACATATTATAATTATTCGTGCGATTTCTTGAAAAGATCATCGTATTTTCAGCATTAAAAAATTTTCTGTACGTCACACCACGCAACTGTGATGAAGTTTGAAAATAGTTGTTCATCAAGAACGTCAAACTTCCCAAACTAAGGGCCATAAGTTATTTCTTCTTAAGCGTTAGCAGTTTCTGTTACAAGTACAAGCTTCAATAAGTGCAAATAAGTTAAGGAAACATTTTCACAGTTAATATTAAAAACTTCACTCGTAATTTACCGAGCGATATTAAGCGTTCAAACTCGAGAAGTTGCAGATTTGGTCTTCCATCAAATCTTTCTTGATAGATAGATCCGTGGTTGTGAAATTGTACGGCACTCTACTCAACTTGAAACTTAATCACGCTTTCTTTCGAAACGAAATACTTTCTATTGTCGCACTAGCTTTTGTGGCTTTCGTGTGCCCGACACAACGAAGCAGCAGATCGCACGCAGATCGAGGTGATACGATCGAAGTGTAAGAGTAGTATTTTTTACGAGACGCGTGTGTGGGCTCCGGTTGGCGCGACGTCATATCCGAAGAAGACTGTGTTTCGCCGTACCTCACCAGGAACGGAATCGTCCCTTTTGTATTTATGTATAAGATACAACATTCCACCCACGATTAGCCTAGTTATTTATCGTACGGATTTTATAACACGACTGCGTATGATTTCGACTAGTACCACGTTCGATGTTTTCCTGTTTCCTTTTTAAACTCTCTGGGGCATTAATGACAACGACTTGAAGCACGCGCGTTACGAGCCGAATAATATTGTGCCATATTATTTTCTTGTAACTGATATATCACAAAAACATATAAAAGACGCTTCCAAACAGAGTATTTCCTTGTATTATTCTTACCTTATTCCCAATAGTGTTTGCTCTTCTGTTGTAATGATGATCTTCTCAAAGTTAAAAAAAAATCGAAAGAAGATAATAAAAGAAATGACAAGGACAAAGGAAGTAAATATGAAATAAAATAATTATTGTTAAGCATTACAAAAATTTATTTAATGTGTTTCTGTTTTATATCTTTAAAAACATTTTTATAAATTTGGTATATATAAATCGTAATAAAGATAAGTGATGGTTACATATAACAAATATATATAATAAAATAATTTTTTATTAAATTATTATGTAATTTTGTATATCTATACATACGTTTCGATTTTCGAGAGTATTAAAATCGATGAAATTTATAAAACAAAAGGATATTTTTTTAGTTTCGTCAATTATAGTCGCATATAAAATCAATCGATAAAAAAATAATAAGAAAACCCTTTGTGCTAAAAACTATTCATACATATATAAAAAAAATCACAAATTCAATTTATCTATGCGAAACTCGCAATCGTTCCTCGTGGAATTAATGCCGAAAGACTTCTGATCTTCAGTCTCACCGAGTAGATTCAGTTCGTCGATACAAATCGTGAAAGACTGAGGTATGACATCGTTATCTGGTGTGTCAGGCCTAGAAATCTCGATGTTGCAATTTGCAGTCTCTTGTACAACGATCGGTAATAACAAATCGTCTAAAGAAAATTCAGAGTGATATAAAATTGCAACTATATATATATATATACATATATATATATATAATATAAAATTACTGATACAATAATAATAAAACTATCTCTATCAAATACCAAAAAAAAATAAAACACAAAAAAATGACGCTGATATAGGAATCGAGGAAAAGTATACGAAAAAGAATGAAGCGATAGCAAGGTGTTGCTATGGCAATTAACAAAATCGAGTATCTGCGATAACATTACTCACCGGTCTCCTCGATATTTTTTATCACGCTCGAGGCTTCATCCTCGGATATCTTCGCCGTAGCGAATCTGATGCTCTCAAGCAGCTCCCGATTAGACGCTGTAAGGAATCTTAGACAAGCAATTCCGTGGATCGTCTTCACGAGCCTAGCTAGGTCCTCGGGTACGCGAAACTTCTTGAAGAACCGTGCCTCCTCTGGTATATGGTCCGACTTGCAATACGGCAGGTGTATCGCATAATACCTCTTATTTCTCCGAGGATAGTTCTCCTTCAGCAATCGCAACAGGTGGTTGTCTACGTTTCGATAAATGATTGTCGCATCGAATTTCGCAGATGTCGGCGGGGATGTCACGACCAATACAACATCCGCCGTCTGAAACGCGGTGTTACACCAGAGTCCTGGATCCTACAATCACATTGTACGATTATTTCGCTGAACTGTCTCTGAACATCGCGTCGTAAAAATTCATATATTACAATATAAACAATAAATAAAATATTAAGACTCTCAAAATTAAAACAACAAAAGAAATGTTTGCAAGAGGAGGTAAGAATAAAAAAAAATGCATTACTTAGCGCACAATAATTCATAGGTAATGACAAATATATTTATTTCTTCATATGTAAAAATTGATCGTAATGAAAAAGAAATATATTTATTATTATGAATTATTGTGCATTAAGTATCGCATTTTTTTCTTACTTGCTCTTACAAGTATTCAAATATTATAAATCAATCAAACTCGTATTTATCGACTTGTGGATTTCTATCTTTTTGAAAGCAATTGCCATAATATATTACATCGTTGATTTGTTTGATTACTCACTTTGCTGGCAGTTTCTGCAATATCAAACATGTCGATCATTGCATTGATATTACAATATCGTAGATATTTTGTTAACTCAGCCATCACATTTACGTGTGACGGATGTGTCGGTGAGTATACTAGTAAGCAGTTCGGCTTCATAGCCACTCTTTTTAAAACTATATTTAAAAAAGAAAAAAAAATTTATTAAAGCAAACGGATTAGACGTAAGTATTCCGGAAAGAAAAAAGAATTGATAACATTCTCACCTTTCTTTCTGTATAATTTAAATGCGTGATACAGCGCGTATAATAATACCGGTGGTATCCATACTAAGCTGATTATCATAATTAACAGTCGATGAGACGCGTGTTCTGTGACAATACAGAATTAGCAGTGTTAAGAGGAAGAACCAGAAATGAGACAAAAAAGAAAATAAATAAAATATAAGTAAAAACTTTTAAAAATTAGAAATAAAACTGAAATAAAAAGAACAATTAAGAATCAACGAGGTAAACAATGAAAATTATTTTAAAACTAACAATATATAATTCCATAATAATTACATAATTTGACTTAATAATAACCTTGACATTTGTTTATTGATTATATAATTATTTCCATGGAATTATATATTTCATTTTTAATCTTCAATTACAGTAACAAATTACAGTACAAATTACTGGATCCGATGGAAAAAATTTTGGATGATTGTACAATCTATGTACAATTAGTATTATAAAGTACTAAACTGTAGGTAAAAAACTTTCAAACTTTCATCTATCAATTGTCGTGGGATAAAGGTTTACTTACATTCTCTACTTCAAACAGAACGCTTTTGAACTTACAATTAGGTGTTATAGTTTTCACAGCTATATAATTGAGCTATAGTTATATAATAATTTACGCGTTGCTTACTGCGCTGACTCTCAATTTCTTTCTTTATTTCAGTCACTTTATTAACCCTTACGTGCAAACAGAGTAATTTTTGTCCAGGCGATTTTTAAAATTATGAATATCTTGAAAACTAGTGGGCGCGCCGTTCCGCTCCTGAAAAAACTGATAGAGATTTGTTAAATTACGTATAAATTCTTCATTTAAAATAATTAAGGAACCCCAGCAGCACAAAACTTGCAGGAATATTACTGCAATATTACAGCAGTATTACACGTTGCAGCAACATTGCTGCAAATTTTGTACTGTTGGGGAAGCTACATGAATTTTTTAATATTTTTTGAACCACTTAAACCATTAAAAAACATCGGACATTAACGATCCCCGTTTACATTAAATAGGTACTACAAAAACGTTTGCACGGCAAGGGAGAGATAAGAAAAATAAAACTTTAAGCTAAATCGCATTTACTTATGTGTACATAGGGCGATGTGCTGTTCGCACATCCGTGCTCGCCGCATTCGGGATGCAAGGCCGCGACTTTAACATAATAGGCGCCGTCTGGTGCTAAGAGGTTGAGCCGTATATGCCCGTGGTCTTCGTTGGCGGGGACGATCGTCGTGAGCGTCGACTTCGTATCGTTACTAATCAGCCACACCTTGTATTCCGTCACGTTGTACGTCGACGGGAGCGGTTGTATGTACAATGCCGCATTTGATTGATCAGAAATGTCGATATATATGAAGGGCGTAAATTTCTCGATCTGGACACTATTTTCTGGAAGAGATTCGAGGGTAGTTACGAAAGACGCGAAGCCGCGGGACGGAAAGGAAAGGAGATAAACAAAAAAACCTACCGATAAATTCATGATTCGGCACATAGAATACGTATTTTCTGCTGTACACAAAATCTTCCCCGATCGCCGTATACTCCAAACGATACGGTGATCCCTCGTATGCAGCATCAGAGAACGGACATGACACATATAAGTGCTTAGGCACTGGGTGATTGTCGTTCCCGTATAACTCTATGTGCCTGCATGCGTTCTCTTTACTCTCCACGATGTTTTGATAACGCGTAATTAATCCTGATTTAACGAGAAATATTAGAGATATACTTGTTTCGAGTGTGTTAAATATCGCGAATGCTAATAATTGTCTCCTTACTATGAAAATTGATATCCGAAACCGACAAGTTGAAAGCAGTCGCCTGCTGGGAATCATCTTTTTTTTTCAAATTTTTATTCACATAAGCGTGCAACGTAAAAATTGCGATGCCATCCCGCTTTAATGACTTTCCAGCATCCTCGAATTTTAGCTTTTCGCAACCTAAAAAATCAAATAGTATTTAATGAATCTGAAAGATATTATTATCCCAAATTAAACTATCTTCCTACCTTCCCCTTTTTCTACTGACGTTAATATACATCGGACATCCTGTGTTAAGTTAGCCTAAAAAGAAGGAATAAATTTAATATGGATAGGAAGTCTTGCAATTGTCTGCATGTAATATTAATAATCAATCAGCTTAAGATGAGGAAAAAGGTTATATACCAATCGAATGACACACAGCTAAAGATAAAGTTTGTTTCAGCTTATATCATCAATCTCTTACGTAATTCAAAAATTAACATTTCATTATTGATTTTCGATATCTATTTGCCTACAACCATGCATAATAATCGAAAGATTAATCATATGATCCATACAGTTTATTCAATAAAACAGAGAGAGAAAGAGAGAGAGAGAGAGAGAGAGAGAGAGAGAGAGAGAGAAACCGATATAATTTTTAAACTATTTATTGTAAAAAAAATGAAAAATTATATATGTATTATACTACACAATCAGTACCACAACGCGTTTTTATATTAATAAATCATCCATTTACCGCCATTGTCAATTATTGTCAATTATTGCCGACATCTTTGAGGTATACTTTCTACCAATTTTACAACATAAGAGCATAACCGAGTAAATTTTTATTTGGGAATGCTACATCAAACATTTCTGAAAAGATAGAAAGGTTCTCCTCTACATTATATAGAGAGTCTTAATTTTTGTCCGATTTTATTAGAGAATGACGCATTTAACGATGGACGTTAAAAGATTTGAAGCTATTTTTTTTTATGTACTCGAAAGGATTGAAAAGGTCAGAAACGAAAGCTATAAAAGAAATCTAAGACGTTTGTAAGTGAGTGTAGAATAACAAATACTGTTAGTAATAATTCTGTGGAACCGCGACAAGACACGTAAGATACGTCGAAAGTTATATCAGTCACGCTTTTATCGAACAGACTGTACCCAGATAAAACTAAAAGTCATAATGATATCATAAAGACGTCATCATGATTTTATTTATTATTTATTTACTTATAAATAACATTGTCGTGGCAACGTTCTATCATTGTGTGCCTTCCAATAAGCGACACAGTGCGACACAGTGATCATGTTATCTTCGTTTAACATTGGCAAATAACAAGAATGTGAGGATTCATTGTGTCACACTGTGTCATTTGTGTCACTTATTGGAAGGCACACATATATGACTCTGTATTTTACCTATAAGTAAATAGCCTTTTTTTTCATAAAAATTATACAAAATATTTCACTACTTTTTAATAGATTAAACCGAGTCTGATTAATTTCCGTCTAGTAAATCGGCTTATATCGACTCTTAACAGTAACATCATTTATAGTAACTTTTCAATTTTTAGCATTATATCTCTTCATAAATAAACTTCAAATTGAAATTTTAAAAACTCATATAACATCTCTTTGTAATTTTGGTTTAAATTAGAATTTTGTTAAAAACTTTGTCTGAAAATTAGCTGATAAATGTAATTTTGCAATCTCTCTATTTGGTTCCTTAAAATTTAATTAACAAAATAGAATTTAATATTAGCTTCTTTTTCATTCTCTTACCTATAATTCGAAAATGATTGGTATCTCGATATTTTCATGAAAGCAAAATATTTAAATTTAAAAAATCAATGTAAAAAAATAATAACGCGAAAAAAAGAACATCCTATGTATAACCTGTTATTACTGTACATATAACGCGATATATGTTGCTTCAAAAGTAACACAATGACGTCTGAAACTATAAAATTGAAGAGAGCAATGTTATAAATTAAACGATAAGATAAGGCTTGTATCTTCAATATAACTGTTATGTATCACAGAATTAATATAATTTATTTATAATAAACACGAATATAATTAATAATAAATAAATTCATCTGCAAGTCGACGTGCGAAGAATGCTCGAGGCACCCTGTATACATGACTGAAGTGACACTTCAAAGGAATCTGGAACCTGTGAACAGGTGATCGGAACGAAGTGACACTTACCGATTTCTGGCAGTACTCCGAATAACAATGTGAAGCCGAGACTCCAGTCAAAGAACATAGGATGACCGCGAGAAAGCTATTGCGAATTGTCGCCCGCATATCTTCTGGGTTATTGCCCGCTCACTCTACGATGCGCAACATTCGGTAGACGGCTTGTGTCGTCGACCTCGACATGTTAATCGCGCGGCGGAATCGCGACGATAAGTCGGATGTTCATTGTGACATTAATTACCATACCACAGCTCCGAATCATACGCGCTCCACGTTGAGAACAAAGCAATATACTGCACGCGAACGACGTCAACAATCACTTTTCTCGGACACGAGGTCGCAAACTGCGCGTCGACGCGAGGAAGGCTCTGCTGGAAGTACCAGGTACTGCTTGCATTGCTTGTCGTCGACAAGAACGGTCTCTACAAGACAGATCATCGATGATTCAAGTCATTTGATTCAACCGGCAATTATTGCATCGAACGATTCTGATTAAAAAATGACTAATGAATCAATACTTCTTTTTGATCTTGAAATATGTTATATATTTTCGGCACGTAAACGTAGATTAAGACGCAGACAGAAATCTAATTGCTGAAAGAAAGATAAATTTTGTGACATTTTGATAAGATAAAGAATAAAAGTGTATCAAAACGATACCAATTTTCTAAGTGCGGAAATTGAACTTAAGAATAAGACAAAAGGAAAGAAGAGAAAAAGAGAGAAAAGTATTTTTTATTTTATAAACAATATTTTATTGCAGAAGTATGAAACGTTTGTTTAAAATAATAAAATTATTACATTCAATAAGCACACTAGAAAATAATATGATTCATATTTGTTTTCATGTAGTGAATGATTTCATAAACGTTATAGACATCATTCCAAATATATAGATCAGATCTGAAATTTATAATCTTATCACATAAATTATGAATTTCTTAAAATTGCAACATATGCAATGTGCTGCAATTTTACAACAAAATATTTTTATGAATTGTTAATGTACCAGTTTTTTTAATAAATATAATGATGATTATTCACAAAAAATTTTCATATTCTATTAATCTAATTTTCTTTTTAAATTAAACATTTTGTTTATTTAACAAAAATTCCGTATTTGTCAACGAGTACTTTTCCTATTTTTAATTCAAAATTAAAATATAGTACATTAAAATTTAAATTAACAAAAACAAGAATAATGTTACATACATACATATACATATTAAACAATTATTCTGGTTTTCCTTTATATTAAATTTTAATGTAAAGTATTTTAATGCTTAGTTAAAATTATTTAAATTATAGAAAAATTTATTCAAAGGAATATTCCTTATTTCGAAGAATTATACCGCTTCCGTGATAATGATCATGAAGATTCATACTCAAAGTTATGCAATAACGATTATCAATAAACTCTTAAATACTAACAGCTAACTTCCTTTCTGATTGTCATTGTACAAGTTAATTGATTATTGTGAATCAAACATCCTACATTTTGAATTCACTTAACGCGCTAATTTAATATAATTCATTAATTACTTAAAAAAATATTTTAGCGTCTCAAAAGCCAAACTGATCAATTCCTACAATTTTTTAATTATTAATTTACCAAGACACACAGACTTTATATTATTTTATTCATTTTCATTTTTTCTAGTTTTTATTTCATGGAATTCATCATTTAACTTCTATTCACTTGATAATTATATATACGACACGCTTTAGAAGCGTAATTAATAATTAACTAATGCTAATATATATATATAAGGTATTGTAGTAAATTTTCATAGTACCTAGTCACCATACAAAATCAGTTTTAGTACTTTAAAATGTCAGTAATGAGCAATTTATTTAACATAATAAAGTAGTTTACCATAACTTCCTACACAGCGCAAAACATTCTAGCAATATTACAACATCGTTGCAATATTACTGTGATATTGCTGGAACATTAATATTGTTGTCATATTGCTCGAATGATTTATGCTGTACCGGTTTCATCAAATTACATATCAACTTTGATGATAGATGCGATTAAAAGTTTTTTTGCATTCAGTAATATACGAACGTGCGAATATAATGTTGGTGAATTTATAATTTAGTCTTAGCTACACGCACCAGATAATTTTGTTTTGCACGATATGCATCCTTCATGGATGCGATACACCACGAAAGAAGCGGTCAGAAAAAACAAAGATTGCAACGTGTATTTCTTCAACAATAACATTAAATACTATTTTTGTTATAATAACAATGAAAAAATCTTGATAACGTGATTGTTATTGCAAGAGAAAGACGAGGTTCTGTTTTTTCTTTTCGTCAAAAAAATAATAAATCATCAAGACAATTTTTTCTTTTCTTGAAGATGGCATAAAGCTATAATACTAAAATAGACTATCGTTTAAAATTAATGATCTTAGCGATTTTTCTACCGCAAGACGAAAAAAGAGGTGTCAAAAATTTATCTGAAATGTAGACTATATACTGCTTTCCTCGTGAACAGGTTAAGATTTTTGTTGGAATTGTGGACACACAGTGTGTTTTATCACAGTGAAGTACAATAACGTAAAGTAATAAGCTTCTATTTATTACACAATGAATTCTGCGGTTACGTAATACTAAAAAAAAGCGAGAAAAAAACAAAAGGATACGGCAACAAGAATGAAGTTCAAAATTGTAAAGCATTCAACCTTTTTCCAATAAAGATTGTTATCTTAAGCAGTTTTGGCTTGCTTATCAGTGTGATCAAAATGTTTCTGTAAATCCTGCCAACATTTGTAATACTCATTGTCCAGTTTATTGCAAAGCTTACTAGCCCAATGCGTCACGGCCATGCTATACGAGGTTTCGAACATAAATGCCTGCGTATCATCAGCGATCCGTTGTGGCACCAACTCGCTATTGGATGCAGCCTCGAAGCATTGTCTATCAGGACCGTGTGGAGTCATTATGGAATGTAGCGATGCACCACCAGCAGAAAAACCATCCTCTTTTGCCTCATAGTGACCCTTTATCAAGCCCATGAACTCGCTCATGCAATTTCCTAAGAATCCAATAGTATCAAGCTTATTGTTTGAAAATTGTGTTGTTCAGAAATAGGTATATATAAGCTATACTATATATAAATTCATATATACATATATATATAAAAGAAAAAAGGGCAGAAAATATTTTAAAAAAAAATTAGAGATAAAAAAATAAACAAAAAATATAATACTTGATATAAACTATCAAGAAAAAATTAGCATATATTCTATTTCCAATTTTATTGTATTAGATGAGAAAATGGTATATACCGTCATTAAAATTTTACGGATTAAATTCAATAATAACAATTTTTATGTAATTTTGACAATTTAAAAAAAATTTAATTATGCATAGGAAAAAATACTGTAGTAAACAAACTGTTCTGTTCGAATAACAAGAAGTAAATAGCATTTTATTTGTGTGTGTGTGTGTGTGTGTGTGTGTGTGTGTGTGTGTGTGTGTGTAGATAATATAAACATTCAAAAATATAAACAGTAGTGTAAGTGCAAAATAGTTCATTGTATATGTTATCTTAATTACTTTCTTTATCTTAATTACTCAACAAAAAAGCCTTATCGGTCTAAACTAGATCTTAGTGCTCAAATATTCCACGTGTGAATTTATATGTATGTATATATATATATGTATATATGTATATATGTATATATGTACATATAAATATATGTATATATGTACAGATGTATATATTAGGTGTTGAACTTAATTCCTGCCGTTTTTCGTCTCTAAAATTGATTTGTTTCCAAGGGAAGATGAATGAATACCTTAATCAAAGTAATTTCCTCCATTTTCTACTTTATTACTAATTAATAATACTTT